CCGAATTAGTTTTACCAGACTCATCTGAACTGTTCCCCATTTCAGTCTCCTCAGGATAAACATTTTCAACACATGCCATTAAAAACAAACTGCCCCAGAGAGTTCTTAGCTAATAGCTCTGACTAAGGAGATACAATAGTAAAATCTCAGATAAGGAATTCTGTTAATATGCAGTGATAAGATGAAATGATAATTGTTTTGCAAAGGTCGGCTCTCAGCTGCTCGTTCAGAGAAAATCCTGTCAAAGACTGCACTGCAGCTTGAAGGAAAAGCTCTGGGAGTATTAGCAGAATGAGATCTTCATTACACTGGAGTTCTCAAAGCTCTGCCCAGAAGCAGAGTCACAGTGGTAAATGCCTTGAATTATATAATGCCCAGCAAGGACTGACATGTACATGGATAAGAAGGCACCACTCACAGTGAATAAAAGAGTAAATACATTAACAGCAATTAATCAGTGTCATAGATAAAATGGCAAAAGAGCAGAAAAATCACATTTATTTCAGACACAATCATTTTAAAAACATTTAAAAAGCCTTATAAAACACTAAAGCTTGCGGGATGGGATGTTATGAACAAAACAACATGGGAAAAAAAATCAGAGCATGGAAAAATTTGTGCTTTTAAAAACAAGTGTCGTGTGACTAGTGAGGAGTGTGTTGCACATATCAAAGATGAAACGGAACAGTTCTACTTAGTGTGTGAAGCTGGTGGAGTTCAATTAGAAAGTGCTGAAGGTGGTGTAAGAGACAAGCCTTAGCAAAAAAAAAAGCTTTGGGTGGGGAGAGGGGGGACAAGCTTAAACTGCATCTCCGAGAAGAATCAGATTTCTCTTGGCACTGGAGAAGCACGTAGACTGAGCACAGCATCACAGGCTTCAACGAGGAAGTTCTTGCACCTCACACAGATGTCTTTACTGTACCAGTCCTTCATTGCCAGTCTGTGCTGTGGGGCTGTTTTAATCACCCTTGATTCCAGGACCAGAGGAACTCTTTAAAAAAAAAAAAATATTTTAAATTAAATTCCTCTTGACAGGTCTTAAATCAGAATAAAAAGAGTGGCAGATGAAAGCTATCAAAGTATAGCAAAAGTAGAACTACTGGAATTGTTAGAGTGGCCATCTTTATTACCTGGTGCTATCCCAAGACCACCGCTCCTGCCAAAATGTGTTTTCAATGTCCTGGCCCATTAGCAGTGCTTCCTTAGTCACAACGATCTTCTTGAAGAAGCTCACTGGGAGATTCATGCACCACTTGTTGGGCAACAGCATCTGAAAACAGACAACAGCATCATAAAGCCCTTATTCTCACGTTGCGCTTCAGGGTGAACAGAGTGGAATAACAGAATCCCTGAGGTTTGGAAAGTCTTTTGCAAAGCAGTTGGCCATTCACAGCTTATTATCCCCAGAAGTGTGAGTGTTTAAGCTAGGGAAGGGGGGGGGTGTTAGGTTGCATTACAAAAAAACCTTACCTCAATACAACACTCTGGGCACACAACCCTGGAAAAATAAAACCGCTTGGCATCAGTATATACTACACAGCACGCACAGGGAATACAGACCCACTAATCTACCTTCTCAATACATTTTGCCAGAAAGGGCTTTTAAATGTTATATGGATCTCTTCAAGAAACTAAAACGTGTACAATTCTATGGTAGTTTTAGAGTATCCCAATACCCACTGGAGGGCCCCTAGTTTGCAGAAAACCCCATGCAGACATCTGGAGTACAATTCCAGAGTTTGTATTACCCTAACGTGAGACTGGTAGTGTTCACATTATAACAGGTTACCTGTTGCAAAAGTAGCAAGAATTATGCCAGGTAAAATATAGGCTCCTCTTCTGGCAACACGCACAGACCTGAAAAGGACACCAGGTTAATGGCATTAATCCAAATAAGAGAAAACTTTAAAAAAAGCAAAAAAATTCTAAAATGAGACTATATACCACTTTCATTAAATACAGTAACTCACCCTCAAGTTAGTGTAGCTGTTGTAGGAGAGGTTCTGCAACCTCCCCATCTCTGCCTGACGCACCCTGATCACGTCTGCAATTGTAAGAGGCAAACAGACCTGCAGCATGAAACAGATATGGGGTCATGATGACAGAGACAGACGGAAATCAAATATCTGAAACACAAACTGCAAAGGAAACAAGTTTCTGTATGTTCGACCTGTCATACCAGATATTGAAATCTCCTTTTCCTTTCCTGTGCACTACCACCTTTTGGCACACACTCTTTAATCTACACCTACTGTAACTACGAACGATCCTGCTGAACCTCCCAGGAATTTCTAGTCCTTCTTTATTAATCATGGTTCCCAGTTTTTTTTTTTTAATTGACCGCAAAAAAGTAAGTGGAAACCCTACCTTTTTCTCGAGTTCGAAGCTGTCAAATGACTTGGACCTTTTCCTGTGTCCAGATGGGTTGCTCAGCAGATCTATCGGTGATGACGACAGCAAAGGGAAGAACTTCAGATCTCGATCTATGGGAAAATGTAATCACCTGGGAATTGCTTAGTTGAGACCCTATGCATACACTTGCCAAAAGAAAGATGAACAGACATCTATGCTTGTAAGCAAGCCGAGTTTACCCTTGACCAGATCCAAACTTTTGTTGGGGATGGGGGGGAACACAATTATAGTCCACAAATGTTCCACACTACATCTAGCTGTTACCTGGTTTGTTGCTTGCGTTCTCACACAGCTTCTCATCACTGTTCTCCAAATACCTGCTGTCTTCCTGTCAGACAAAAGACTAGGTCAAGTCAGGAGTTAAACCACCAGACAGCTCCTCTCCTTCTCCTGCTGACGAGACTTCTGCATGACCTACATAAAACAACACTGGTTGAAGACGTCAATACTCTTTACAGGGCTACAGTGGCGAGCAGTACAGGAATGTGTAGAGGTGAATCAAGAGTTGCCAAGCAGAGGCAAAAGAAAATGTTAGAGCTGTTAGCCTTCTTCAGGTGTATCTGGGGGATGGGGGGGGAATGAGGACAAAGGAAATTATATTGGGTAGTGGAGTTGAAAATGGGGTGAAAAAGAGATGGAACACTAGGAGATCAATTCTAGAGGGCAATGTGGACAATTTCTGTTTGGAACAAGACTCCATTACCAAACTGTACTTTTATACTTTCTAGAATTTGCTTTAAAAAGATTTTACTCTTTCAAATCTCTTCAACTGAAACAGCAAGCTCTCATCACCTTCATACTTATAATTGGTTCCCCTTTACTAGAAAGCTTGCTGTGCGATATTATGCAGGGAAGATGTACAGGTTCCATACCTCAGACCCTGACTCCTTGAGATCTGGAGTGGGAATAGGCTTCAACAGGCAGAAGGAGTCATCAGAGAAAGAATCCTCATAAACAGACACTGAGATAACACAATTCGGTGGAGACGTATTGTTCTCTAGAAAAAAAAGATACAACAGAAGAAAACATTAAGAGTAATGGTATAATATTTACCCAAACACACAATCTTCATATGCAAAATACACACCAAAAACAGTTTTTGTGAATTAAACACATTTCTGTGGTCAATCTGCACATAACTAAAAGAATAAGCAGACAAGGGACATAAGGTTGAGCAGCTGTTTAACAGTGTGAAGGGAAAACTGCTTTTGTTTTACGATTCATTTATGGGAAGTGATTTTTACAGTTTGATTAGTGCGTAATGTATTTTCAGCTGCATTGCAGTGTATGTCATGAGTTGTTTATACAGTACCTGTAGATAATGTCTTCTCAATTAACTAAACCAGATGATGGACTAACTAGTTAGCAGTGGAAGCAAATAAAATAAGTATTGGCACTTGTCAGCCCCACAGAGCTTAATCTGCTATCCAGTGATGACAGTCTTGAGCCAGAGCAGGCATTAACTGACTGTGACTGGAACTTCCTTACCAGTGTTGCACAACTGGCACAGTGCAACTAGGGTAAGTTGGGCATCAGTCAGCCAGAGTTCTCTCGGTTTTCTGCTCAGTGGTGGCCCTTGTAAAATTTGGGGCAACTGCAGGCTTGCAGAGGCATCAATCAGGGGTGCACTAATCCTCCAATGGGTACTAACTACACTGCAAGGCTATGTGGAGTTTTCAGCATGACAAAAGGAAAGACCATATTAGAGGAACGTCTACCAAGCCTCAATCCCTCTCTGCAATAAGGAGTCTTTAACAGATAGGCAGTGGAAGCACGATGCCTTGACAAGCTGCCCTCCTCCTGTGGGAGGACAATGGTTGCAGTTTGGCAGCAGATCGGATTTCTTCCATCAGCAGCTCATGGAGACTGGCTGCTTCCTTAGGACGCTTCTTTAATTTACGGTCCGATGCCTGAAGGAAATAATTAGGGAAAGATTGTATTGTGTTGCTTTGGGGAAATACATTTACAAGATATCTCCGGAAGCTTCCTGTCCATCAACTCACAGGCCTCAGTCTGGGGTTGGAACGAACAAAGTCCAGAAGAGCTTCATGGGGATCCCTTTTTGGCAGATTACCCACCGCCTAAAGGAGGAAAAGGAGTGGAAAATTCATATATACATATAGTCATATCGGAATTTTCTCAAGTTGCATACAGTTCCAATGTGCAACACATACTTTGTAAATGAAGTTTGTTTTCACAAGAAAAGAGTTCTTCTTTTGGGCTCCCAAGAACCTGCAGATTCTTATTCAGAGCACAGATTAAAATGTGGAGGACAGAAATTGTCTCTTTAAATATAGGCTCTCTCTGTCTCTCCTTAGCCAGCTATGACAACGATTCCCCAAAGAGCAGCTAAAAACTAGAAAGCCCCTTCATTGTTAAATACTTCAGTCTCTTCACTGTGGTCTTTTACGGGCCAGGGTGGGTCTCTTCAACTTGCTGGACACTAGAAATGGCTGAGAAAGCCTCTCTTAATGGCGTGGTCCTGTGTGTGGACACACAGTGCAAGCTCACCTTGACTTTGCGGAGAGTGTACCTCTTGGACTGAATATCACGCAGCAGCTGCTCATAAGGGGAGAGTGGGGCCTGAGCCGGCGCAGTGACGTTGCGACGCTCCGACCTGGACTTCAGCTTCACACCTGTCCTCAGCTCTTCAATCACATGTTTCCAGGTGAAAACCTGCAAGTCACACCAACACCCACCATTGCTTCCCAAAACTGGATTGAAATTCCCAGTCTAATCCATTATATGTTAGGGAACCTTCCTCTTTCTTACCCAGTCTGTCGTAACAGGGGTTACAATGCTGCCATCCGATTTATTCACCAATTTCTGCAGAGTCTGGTGAGATTCAAAGCAATGGTGAATGCTACGTATTCAACAGTGAAAGTATCCTCCTGCTATTATTCAGCTTCTAAAAAGAAAGTGGAGCCTGAGACATAAGCACACTAGCCTATTACTCTAATAGGATGGACATGCTAGATTTGAACCATGTGAACAATACTAATGCACATAGAGTCATACACTCGGGAATTAATCAACGGCATCTGAAGGCTAGTATTTTGTATAAGTGTTGCACTTAATCTTCATCAAGGACCAAAGTGAGAACCTCCTAGGAAAACTCAATATTTCAGTACTGAATGGGTGAATTTAACTGAAGCCCAGAAAATCTAGCCCCCGGAGATGAAGGTAAAAGCTTTAAGTACCAAAATGATGAATAACCTAGCAGTCTCACCTCCTTTGCATTCTGTATTTTTTGAAGATACCGGCAAATGTCTACAGTCTCTGCAAACAGTATGGAGCAGATGGCTCTGTAATGGTGTGCAGCCATAGCTGGGCTGTACAGGCGGGCCTCACAGACCTGCAACACATGCAGGAGACCAGTCACCTCTAACCATGCTGTATATTTCAGTGTAGACTGCACTGTTATTTCCATTTCCTGCCTGCAGCCAGTACTTCCATGCAAACTGCCCCACTGCTGAATGTCACCAACTAGGAATTCATTGAGCGAAAGGCTTGGAATGGAATGGATGAACAAAGGCTAGCTTCCCCTGCTCTAGGAACTTCTTCTTCTTCTTCTTCTTCACAGCCTTAGTCCCAGACTGTCCTGGGGTCAGCTGCTTTGGTTGATCTTCTCCACTTGTCTCTGTTGAGCACATCTTCCTCACTCACTTCACATCCCTCCATATCTTTTCTCACACAATCTATCCATCTCTTTCTAGGCCTGCCTCTTCCTCTGTTACCTTCCACCTCAAATTACATTACCCTCTTTGTTACTTCCTCAACATCCCTCCTCATGATATGTCCATACCACCGTAACCTCGCCTCTCGCATCTTCTCAACCACATCCACCACCCTACATCGTCTACGGATTTCTTCACTTCCCCTGCTCTAGGAACATCCTAATTATATTACTCGAAATCCTTTGTTTTCTCCAGCTCCTGCTGCTACAAGAGGAAGAAAACACCTTCAGCACAGACATTTCTAAAATTAGGGTAAGTAGAGGGACAGCATGACCAATTTAAATCTGTACAAGGAATGTACTGTATATTATAAATGTCCACAAACACCAATATGCACATATAATTATACTAATTTACATATGATGAATACTGTGGAGGGAAATCACAATTAGAAAAAGTCCAAACACTGGTTTCCCATACAAGCAGCATCACTGGACAACCACAGAGGTACATGTTCTGGAAGTAAATTACATAAAAACCACCACAGGATTTCTACAGTAGCATGCAGAGGTAGCCACAGTTAAAACCCACTGCTCCTGCTGCAGCATATTTCCCACAGTGCTCAAGCACAGGTGTATACCTTCCTGGATCCAACACTGCCGAGATGGGAATGAACGTTACAAATAGGAGCTGGAAGAACACCACCTGAATAACTTCAGAGAACGTGCAGACTGGCTGGAAAGGCTCCCCTGGTCTATTGTGGCTGGTGTCCAGTTTAGTCATTTGGCAGATGAGGATCTCCAGGGTCTCACTCAGGTCTCTCTCCACATTACTGCCTAAACCCCAGTCCAGGCAGGAGTAGATCATTCTTCCCAGAAAATCCACCATCTATAGAGGACAAGTGCAGAACAGCAGTTTTGGAGGTCTCAAGTGTGTTTGGAAAGAGTGGTGGACTTAGAGTACGGGTATTACTGTAGGAGGACTGCCTCACTCTCGGGAGAAAACTAATACCACCGTCCCAAAACCTACGCTCGCCATCCTTCACAGAATTTTTACTTCTGATAAAACTACTGCAGAGCAATACATCAAGAGAGGCATGTTGGCTCATACCAGTTGCACAGGTTTGAGGAGTGAGTCAGTAGCCCATCAAATTTAGAGCCTACTTTCCTTAGTTATGGATTCAAAATTGCATGCCCAGCAATCAGGTTAAGACAACCCTGGCCCTTTACTGTAATATTCGTGTCCAGCATTCTTCACTGAATATCTTCCATGGTGCATCTTAGGTGAATCTAAAACCTACCAAATTCTGGTACTTCTGGCCAGGGTTGCCTCCGCTTTGTTCACCCCCCCAAAAAAAAACTCATACGTGCCCCATCATGTGTACACCGTATGAAAGCAGTGTCACAGATACTATTAAAGTCTCTGAACTTACGTCATCTTCGGTCTGCAGCTCAAAAGATCCTTCTGAAACGGAATAAAACATTAAAGCCAGTACATTAAAGACAACCTCGCTGCTTCTTACGGCTAATCAGAAGATATTTGCCTTGCATTTGCGGGGAAAACTTAAAAAAAAAAAGAATTCGCGGATGTGTGAAGACAATTTCTAAACGATTAGACTTGGAGATAATCGCAGAAGGTTATAACCTTAGACCCCGCTTTTTTTAAAATGGGAACCAACGTTATTTGGTGAGCACAACACAATCTTGTTTTAACACATGCCAAACAATTTAAAAAAATCATACTTATTCGTTCTTTTGTTTTTAGGACCACCGTCCCATCGTTCTTCAACAGTACGCTCTCCATGCCGGTGATCCAGGGTGCCTTCCACCGAGAGAGGTCTCCGCAGCCCTGCAGGCGCTGGCTCTGCACCATCAGGCTGGATAGCTGGTAGCAGAGGGCCCACGCCTGCTCCTCGCTCACGGGCTGGCCCTGCAGCTCCAGAATCTCGCTCAGAGAGATGTGGTAGCTATCGGAGAGGCACTTAGAATCCCCCATGCTTCTCCTTGCCTTCGCTTGTGTTTCGAGTAACTTTTTTTTGTTGTTCTCTAAGAGTATTTTCCTTTATTACCGGTGTTTAGTTTAACAACAGGTCCCCACAAAACAAATCACTCCCCAACCAACCAAAGTTAGCACAAAGGGCATTTGTAACTAGAACCAGCGACTCAGCCTTTCCTAATTGTCTCAGTGTAATTAGGACCTCAGCGTTGCGCGGCACCGTATTTAGTTTTGGCCAATTAGCGCATCACGTTTGGTACTCACCTGTAGTAATACGGGAGGAAAATCGAGTCATACTTTGGCATTGACAAAACTTTGACAAAGCATAACAAAAATTGTGTTTGCCATTGGCCATCCTTTAAAATTTGAGGCGTCCAAAGTTCCAGCTTTTGGAACGGTTCCTGACTTGCTGTGCACCTTTTTCGTTTCCATTTTCTACCAGAGACCATAATAGAAGGATAGGTACTTTGGAATAGTTAATATTATTTGAAACTAATGCTTCAGATATTTGGCTAGAAATGTCAGAAACCACTTAATTTTCTGCATTCCTCTAAAATGCTCGGAGAACAGATGATCCCAAACACTCTGAAAGAATGCGCAAGTAATTCACCCACGAGCAGAACCCGGAGCGATCATCTCCTTGACTTGCAATTAATTGCCCAATACTACGTTAGCATTAAAGAAAACTAATCTTTGATTTATTGAGTCAAAGCCAAGTGGATGTTTGATTTCCCTGATAATTTTTATGTGTACAAAAATATTACGAATTTTATTACCACGGTCCGCCCTGTGTGGTTTAATCAAACACAGGAAATCGTTGAATTAAGTTTGATCACTTTTATAAAAAATCGTTGGCAATGTTATACTGTCAACTTTCTAAATTACAAATAACAAAATCACACTTTCCTTCTAACACATTATCGTGAAAATGTTTTTTTTATCGATTACATCAGTTTTAAATCACTTCAGAACGCTAAAAAACATTTAATACATTTGCAGTCTGTTTGGGTGAACTATGTGAGAATATAATGTTTGTTTAATATGAGCTATGTTTGTGAGAATAACAATGTTATTTTAATATAACATTTCTGCAAATATATGTATACAGTACATGTAGAAAATCAAATAAAAAAAGGAGAAACACTTATAATTCTGTTTTATTATCCATTCTTCCAAGATTATCACAGTATTTGGCATCTTTAGAATCATTCCTTCATGTACCTCAATATACATTTTATACAGAATACAAAAATATTTAATTCTGTTATAATAATTGATTTCAGAACAAGATATTTAACTTAAATGAATAGCTCTAATTCTTTTAAAAAAAATTAGATTGCATTATGGAAACTCTTTAACTCTTTAATGCAACATTTGAAGAACTAAATGACTTAGGTTCCTAAGAGTATATCTCATCAAACAGAGACAGCATTGCACTTCACATAGTTGCAATGTAATTAGCTTATGGTCACCTATTACACCTTGAATTTCTGATTTCTCAAGCCTTATATTAAATACTGTTTCAGCTGAAAACTCTTTATGAGATCCAAACACAACCGTGAAAATAAAATAGTGCCTGGACTTTTAGCAAGCTTAGCATGTTACTACATGGAAGTGCATTTAAAACTGAGAACAAGAGGCGACTTTTACACAAAGAGTTGTGGGGGTCTGGAATAAGCTAGCTGAAAGAAGCTGTTCCATTGATGTGTTTCAAGTGGCTGGATAAGGCCCTCATATCAAAAAGCTACTAAAAAACAAACAAGACAGGTAGACTGAATAACTGCCTCTCGTCTCTAAGCTTTGTTATGCAATTTTGTTCCTATTGAAAGTCTGTCTTCTATTTTTTATACAAATGGATCCATGTTATCATATACCATTTGGGTATACATTGACATATTTTTATCCCAGGGAAAAACTTCAAGAAATTTCATTTATTTAAAAAGAACAAAATCTGGATTTAATGTAATAGAGCTAAATGTCAATGGAGGCACAAACTGACTGTTCAAATTACAGATGAGACAGAGGAAAAGTGTGAAGCTAAGTGATAGTAGTGTTGGATAAATAATGCTGTTTAGTGCTAAGTGTCAAATAAAATTCTTCCTGAAGTCTAACACCATAATCACACAAATAAACACAACTACCAGCTGAAAATGACAAACCTGGTATCTAATGGTGGACATTTGTTTGCCAAGAGTTATTAATTAATGTCTGAAAGAGAGCTCAAACCTTTGATTTAATCTTGTTTTCCATTTCTTTTCTTCATAGTTTCAGCAGGGATAATGTGCTGGACAGAATTATTTGATTTATCAGATATCTGTACAGTGAGAGGGCTGTACAGATCTATCAGATCTCTATGCATTTTAAGCTATCTGTACAGTGAGAGGGCTGTACAGATCCATCAGATCTCTATGCATGTTCAGCTATCTGTACAGTAAGAGGGCTGTACAGATCTATCAGATCTCTATGCATGTTCAGCTATCTGTACAGTGAGAGGGCTGTACAGATCTATCAGATCTCTATGCATGTTCA